ATCCTTTTTTTTTTTTTCGCACTTACCGTCTTTAATTAATTGTATATCATCAGTTGCCAATGATGGCCTCCCTTTTACCCCTTATCTCGGAGATTCTTCCGATGATAATGCCTGCTTCGGCCAATATTACACGTGCCAAACAGCTCGAACCGACTCATCCAACCGTTGAAGGTCCTGTTATCGAACGTCCCGCTGTTGTGGGCAAGTGCGACAATATGTGTGTCTCTGGTGAGTAGATTGTTTCAGACACAAGTACCGGCTCTGCGTTACTGACACATACAAGTTATCACAACGCGACCACACTCCAAGTCTACGGTCAGACATAATAGTGAGCAAGGTCAGTTACTACCTTTCTGTATGAGGATACAAAACTGACATTTGTGGCTAGAAACTATCATCTACACTGTCTCTGGCAAGGGTACTCTGATTGTCAACGAGGCCGTTAACTCTGAACTCAAACACCACGAACTCACACCCGGAGACTTTGCCTTTGTGCCTGCATGGGTCGAGCACCAGATCAAGAATGATTCCGATGAAGACTTTCAATTGCTCATGATTCAAAATGGATCAACTCCCATTCGTGCGGACTTGACTGATTTCGGTGGCGATGTCATTTCAACAAAGAACTAAAGCGCCGAACAAAGATTTCATTACCGTCCGCATCAATCTGTCTATTTTAGGCTATACCGGAGATGCAATCCACTAACTCTCACATCTGGATTTAACCATCTGAATCACCGAATCTCTACTTGATCGATCATCAAACACTTGCGCATGGTCCAGCGTTGGAAACATGACCACCTCGACGCCGTTGTGCGATTCGGCTACTACACCTCGAGTGCGCGATTCCAGATCAACTCCCAGGTATTCCGCAACCGTGGCCGTATCGACTATGAGGTCGCGACCAGAAAGTGTCACTGCAGCATGTCTTGTACGGCGGCCATCGTCTTGGGTTCCCAAAAGATCCTCCTTCCACAGGATATTCTCGCGCCAGAAGAAATATCTACCGAGACAAAGCGCTACACCGGGATCCGTGCTGGCGAAATACCACAGCTGCCACTCATTTGCTCGCTTTGGCTTTCGGCGAGTGAAATTGTATGCCACATCAGGAAGATGGAGCATGATGGTAACAGGGTCGATAAGGACAAGTGATGGTACGCGATGTTTGAGCCTGGAATCATGGAGCATATGAGTTGTCAAGACGGAGCCATAAGAGTGCGATACGAGGGCAAATTTCTCCCAACGATGGTGATCCAGGATGGCGGTCATTTGAGTCAAGAACTCGGCCTTATCAGGGATGGCTGGCGTGAGGCGGAATGAGATTGGCAGGATTTCGAGGGCGATTACACCAACGCTTCCACTTCCATCATCGGTTTCATGAAGTCCAGCCAGGAAACGAACATATGTCCATAATCCAATTCCAATGCCGTGGAAGAACACAACGGGAAGCTTGTCTTGAGCTGTGTGCGGGCGGTGCCAGTAACTCAATCGTGTTGAGGGAGACCGTCGGCCTGGATACAGCTCTTGTGGTCGCGGAGGGAACATGCGAAGCGCAGAAGAGCGAGGTCGGCGATAGAACTCAAATCCGTGCCAGCGGAAGGCGAGATGGGTGGCCTGATCGACAATGAAGATGACGATATACCAGGGAAGACTGCGATACGTCGTCGTGATGCCGTCAAGTGTGAGACGAAGGCTCTTCGCATTTCCCCGCCCAGTTTTGAGCGGTCGTCCAAGTCGTCTCTCCAGACGCCTCAGATAATGCTCAACCTCCTCCTCCACCGTCTCGCCATCTTCATCAACCAACTCTTCACCATCAGGCCTCTCAAAGAAAGCCCACAAGATAAACTCCCTCACATTATCCCTTCGAATCTCATGCGGATCCGCATCCAGAAACCACCACCTCAAATAGATATCCGGCGCCGACACATTCCCAAAACACCGCTCAAACAGAGCCTCACGTTCCTTACGCGAAAGTGCTGGCGGGTGAATTGCATCGCGCTTGAGCCGGCCGAGAAATGGTCTGTATATAAATAAGTAGTACACAGTCTCTGCCAACAACGCTGCCAGGAGAACACAGAGAGCTGGAAATATTGTCTCGACGGGCTGGATGAGAGGAAGGAGGAAAATGAGAAATATGTAAATTAATGGCGTGTAGCGAAAGAAGGCGATGGATAGGCGGATAAAGACCCATTCACCGAAAGATGTACCGATCATGCGATGTTCCAGTGCCCGTGAACCAGGACTTTAATTCTTTCAAGCAGAGAAGTTGTGTAAGAATGAAATTTGAATTTTTTTTTTCTCGCTTGTTGAAGATGAAAATCTTTGGTGACGTGTTTGTTGAATGAGATCTCGTTGGGGCGTACCGAGTACCACTTGTATCATCATCAGCTGCTGGGCGCTGATCGACTGGCCTTACATACAGGGGTGGCTTTGTGGCTGATGATTCTAGCCACAACTAACAGTTACATCCTTGACCCGCACGACGAACAGCCCATGTACGTTCGTGCATGCAACGTTCCTCATCCGTTGTAGTCGACAGTATGACAAGATGTTTGGCTGTGCAATTTGTACTTGGCTGTCTACAGTAGACAGAGTAACGAAGCTATAATTGGTAGACGGGTAATGAAGGAACCGGCACCAAGCCAAACCGAGTGATGTCTCGAGGGTATGAGATCTTCTGCTGTTGAATTATGGCTTTTTAAGGGTAGTACAAAACCCGCTCGGATTAGATTTCGTAAAACTGCATCTCACAAATACGCTTCATGTCACTTGTGGACCCGGGTTTGTGTATTCGAGAGAAGCAACTCAGCGGTCGATCTGACCAAGCTAGATGGGCAACAGAAGAAATATCCTTTAAGGCTTAGGCTACCAAAATAAAGCAGCCTAAATGCTTCTCTAAGTTGGTATAAGATGACTAGACTATTTATTCTCTTATGCTTATGGCGGTCAATCCTTCTGATACCCTGCGGCCAAGTATATCTCAGTGGCTGATTAGACATATGATCGAAGCAATACTTGATACATCCAACTTCCAGTATGAGGGTGCCTTGACACTGCATCTACTTCATTTCAGGATGTACAGTACCTAAGACGGGATAAGTTGAAGGAATTACAAGTCCAGGTACTTCGACTTATACGTGTTTGGAGGCATTATTATATGTACCTAGGCTTAGGAACTGACAAGGATACGGCTTACGGAAATTTTCAGGTAAGTACAGTACCAGATACGTTCTTTACCAAAGTTTATGCATATAGCTCGTAATTGTGCCAATAGGCACTGCGTAATCCGCTCTCATTGCTTTCCAACCTTGCAGTCTGTATACACAGATATCTGTATCTGTATGACTTCAAGTGTCAACGACTCGTAGCCGCGCATTACTTCAACCATCAACAAAAAGCATTACCCATCAGCGACCAGATTCATCGGTGTGTAGTAGAGATGCAAGTAACACAACAGGTGTACATGGATTGAGGACGGCTGCTCATGTGGCAAATTCGTCGACCAGCATGCTGGCGAAGTTACAGTTACAGAGTAAGTGTTCTCTGTACATCCCAAACCGAGCCGCTTCTTTTGCGCGAGCTGTATATATCCGTAACACAATAACCTACGAGGTGCATCAATTTATAACCCGCAGGAATGGTGTACTTTGCTGTCCTACACAGACACTCACGCATTGGACCCAGGAACCAAAGGGTCGAACAACCAGGCGAGTATACGACTCGGAGGATTTCTGGCAAATTGAGTGACGATTATATGAACTCGAACAACTTACAATAAGGAAGGAATATGTTGATAGTCTTGTAACCAAGTGTGGATGGGGAGAAGGGCCAGGATGAGGTTGTGTGAGGTTGAGATACTGTCTTCTGATTGGTCAGTGCGGGGGGCTGTCGTCCATGAGCTCCCGACTTAAAGTCCTCCTCCCCCCCCTCGATATTTTCTCCTGCTCTCTCCCTTCTTCATACCCTTTCTCACTACCCATCAAAAATCGCTCCAAACCCATCTCGATTCATCCATTGCTCTTCAGTTTCATCACTTGATAGCACTCAAGAGTCTGATAAGTATCAGTAGGACTCATCTCATAGTATATCTGACCTTCATTGCTGTCGCCGTCACTTGACGCCCATATACCATATATCATATCGCACCTCTATACCAATAGCACATACTTCCCTTTGCATGACAAGATGGCTGCTAGTCGTCCATTTCCTAAATCTGCCCCTTCATCGCCTACTTATAGGCTCAAGCGAACCCATAACCAAGCTATGGGACCCCGTGAGGCCGACGAGAGACAGCAACTCTCAACGAGGCCGAGAAGCCTAGCTGAACCTTTCCAGTTAGTGGGAGTATCGCATCTGGCAGACACTTCCAATGGTGCTGCGTGGAGCAGAGAAGCTGAAGCTGAAGCGAGACTGCGGACTCATGTCCCACGATCACGTGGATTGCACCAATTGACAAACCTGGACATGTACTCACATGCCAGTCAGCCGTCTCTTCTGAGGGTGGACTCAGATTATGAGTTATACTCGACATCGCCTCGCAGGCAGCCTCGGGTCTCACTTGAGAATACCCTTGGTTCCTTGCCGATGAATGGACAAACATCACACCTACCATCGGATGGAGGTCTTGCCCACACGGGATCCTGGTGCCACTCGACTCCCACGGAATTCAGAGAGAGACAGTTGGACATCTATGACTCTGAAAGGGACGTTCTCAGTGAAGACTGGTGCCCGAGGACCCCAATGGACACCCGCTTGTCCACACCAGATCTCCCACCGCTATCCACAGACTTTGAGTTCTGCCCTTGTCATCGTCCAGGCGAACATGAGCAGGATAGGATCAACGAAGATTTCTACTTCGCAACAAGATCCAAGATGGACATGCAGAGTATGCCAATGCACCCCTCGCTCACGAGTATTGCGGCGTTGCTAACGAATCCAGCGATTGATGCGCTGGCACATATTGCTCAGAGCAGGTCAACAGATGGTCAAGAAGACCTTTGGATGCGTCGCTGAGTGAAGAAGATGTTGTAATAGTGAGGTGCGTGCACTGCACAGTGAAGTAAAAAGAATCGGCGTTCAAAGCAGGCGTTTGTAAATAATTGACTCGAGAGAGTTATCTTTGGGTATCGGCAGTTTAATTAGTTCAACTTCTCATTGCCATAGAATAAGTTTAGATAGAACCGTTGGCATCCTGTCAACTGCTGCTGAATGAGTTGGAGTGCTGGCAACTCTGGTTCTGTAGAGTATTTATCTGGGAAATATATATATGCAAATAAATAAAACATGGAAACAAACAAACTGATCAGATCATCGCTGATGTCCGAAAAGCAGTGGAAATAATAGCGCGTAGCATCTGGTGATAGCTTCAAGTTGGCACTTAATGTTGGTTGAAGTGACTCGATTGAAATAAGAAGGGGAGGGACTCGAGGAGGACGGTAGGACTGTGGGGACTGGGGAATCAACGGGGGAGGAAGGAGGGACGTAGGCAGCAGGACTATTGGCGCCTCAGGCATTCATTCATGAGGCATCCTACTTGCCTGACTGCTTACTTCGAGGCCTTCCCATGGTTGCGAAATGTTAGTGAGTGCTTCTTGAGATTAAAAAAAAAAATGCATTGAATTGGTTAGTAGGATCATTCTTGATCATGTTTGACATGCTTGGTTCGAAAGGAGCCAGATGGGCACTCAGCACGTCCTACATTTATAGTCCGCAACAAACCAGATAATGTAATGCGATGCTATTATTTGTACATTAGCTGTATCTACTTTACTGCGATGTTTGAAGGCCTGGAGGCTCGCTTTGTTGACCAGATGATTTCGTATCTACCTAGGTAGTTCAAAATGATAGCAAAACTGCCATTGGGTCTGGCGTGGTACTGTCAATCGAATTAGGAAGACGTGAATGGTATGTCAAGGTGAAAAAACATCCACGTCATAACTAGTAACAAGACCTCCATCAACGCCACTATCAAATAACGTAAATGGGAATACTCTATCGTGTTGTCGTTCAACTTCTTCATCAATTTTGATAGCGACTGTAGGTTAAGGTAATCGTCAATCGCGGCAAGAGCTTATCAACGCACTCAGTTACGTCATTGGTCTTTCCCATTTCCGCATAGAGCAAGCGTTCTAGACAAGATAGACTCTTTAAAAAAGCAAGAACCTACATAAAAGCACAAAAGATCTAGACAGGATAGACAAAATGGCTGAGAATTACGTCCTTCGCATCACAGCTGGGCCTGATTATGACCCAAGTCAAATGGTCGAGGTCCCAGTCAATACCGCCAAGCCCGTCACCATCAAAAGTGACCGCGCAGATATTGATCTCAACGTCCGCATCAACGACTACAAGGGCCTGCCACGGAACTCACCCAAAACATCTCCCTACTTTTCTACTGAGCCTCACGCATATAACAAGGATCAATACAGCATCTCATTCCGTTTCACACCCAAGAAACCTTCTAATGGCGACACTGATGATACCGACGGCATCAAGGCTACCGATCTACAATTCGGCAATGACTTTGATCGCCCTATCCGGGACCGTCTACCACCCGGATTTAACACTGCTATGAGCATAGTTCGGTGGTGGATTGATCCTGGTCTGGATGGCGATGCATACGCCGATAAGCCCTTCTTGTACGGCCCAGCGTTAAGCTCCTTCAACACTGTTCATGTCGGGAAGGGCGAGTTCGATGAAGAAAAGGGTGGCCTTTGGTTCGAGGAAGGTGGCGACCAAGACGGTCTCGAGGCCCGTGAAGAAGTTGGTGCTCCTCTTACTAGCAAGGCGCGAATGAAGTGGGCTCTCCGAGCAGACAGTAAGGAGAAATGGGTGTTTGAGTATGGTCAGACATACGGCCTCGACTTCTTTAACCCATATCTTAACTTCTCCGAGCTCGCTCTGAACCTACCTGGCTTCCAACTACCTATCATGAAGTACTGGGATGGTCAAGGTCTAAGGTAAGCAACCGTCATTTCTCGTCATTTCTCGTCGGACAAGAAGCCATCACTGTTGCACAGTGTTGTCTTCCACCATACATGCTCGACCCTTCTTCTAGCCCTCCATTTACATTCCTAACAGGCCCGGTCCGAAACGCTCACATCAACTCAGATATGTTCTACGCAACAAAGAGACTGGAGAGCCATATCTCGTTATTCTGTTTTCTCTGTACCACAAAGATTACGTGAACGAGGACGGTTCGTTGAAGGAAGGTGCTGAGGACTCATTGAAGCTACCGGACAACGACGACGCGCAGTATGATGATTTCGATGGAGACGGGGCACTGAAAGAGGCGACGGAACAGCTTGGCCCCAAGATTGACGAGAAGGAGAAGGCACAGACGAGTGCGGATGATATCGATTGAACGAGGAGGGTCACATTTGGGTATCAAGACATGGACAATGTTGTGCTTGGTAGCCAAGAGTGCGACGGTATTTAGAGCTGCAACTCTGGGTCGGCTGCCAAAGTAAACAGCCATATTATCGTCAATACCTATTTCCGGGCATTTTGCTTCATCACACTCTCATTGTGCACCTGCACCTGCGGTGCTCCAATAGCTCGGCCGCGTGGTACTGAGCCATCCCCTACAGCACATGTCTCACGCAACTGGTCTGTCAGAAGTGAAAAGGTGTGTTGTACCGATAAAAGAGCAACAGCCAGATACAACTCCCTCTTGCGAAAGTCGCTGGGCCTGAGGTCCGTCTGTGTTTATTTCCCGTTGGGGCCGTATGTTTGCATCCTGTTGAGCGTTTAAATTGTTCTAGACAGTCTTCAAGAAATGAGACCAGAACTTGAGCATCCAGTCAGGTGCTCAATTGCATTTACCGACATTTGAAATTGGCAGCCACAAACACTACAGAATCGGATCTCCTCCAATAAGCGCTACGTATGCATCATCGATTTTGACACAGGTCAGATGGAATCTCGGATCTACATACGAGATAGCCGGGCATGAACGGTAATAAAGAGACATGGCTTGCTATTACCGGACCCCTCCAGAGATTGTTTTCAAGTCTCGACTGAGATCCTCGGAACATGGACCAATGATATTGGTTGTTTCTCCCCATCGGCTGTCCGAAAGGGGCCGCTGCCGAACGGCATCTTCGAGATGGCTTAAGGTGACGTGGAGTTTCGAGACCTGGCTCCCTGTTAGAGGCTTGGCTAAATGTCTAGCGTACATCTTAGATCACGTCCATCTTATTCCCGAAGCCTTGGTCTCGGATTTCGTGTACCACTACGGCAAATTGTCCCGGCGAGAAACCCGCATGTCGCCATAAGGCGGACTAAGGGAATATGAAAAGACTTTGTTCTCTTGTCCTTGAAGACGTCGAGATGACGAAGACTCAAGATTTGCCAATGCCAATACCTTCCAGATCATAATTGCAGCATGTTAGGCAGACGTCCAAGCTACGTTGCTCTGACCTCTCTTACTGCATACTTGGCTGTGCCGCAGAACAAAGACTTCACTGTGACTCTTCGGACAGAATGTATCACCCGTTAGCGTTTCCTCATGGCCGAGTCACGCGCAAGAACAAGGTCCCGCAATGTTAAACAAGCGGATACCCTGCCAAGACACCACATTATTCCCGTTGAGATCCCGCCTTTTGGCCCTCATCTCATCTCCTGCGCTGCAACCCCCAGCCTCAAATAACCCCGGGTTTGTGCCCCGGATATTACACTCCCACACTCGACTGTGGATTCCCTTCTTCAGCTTTTCCTTTCTCTCGCCCTTATTATTGACCCCGTGTCCCCATCGCTTCTCTCCTTGTCCAGACCTTGATTCATACCGAATGACACCCATACGAAATACCACTGTCCTACTTATCAATATCACTACATCTTGTTGACATGACAGAACCTGGACTGCATCAGAATGCAGGTACGCCCAGTCATAACCCTGGAGATCTCGAGATTAGGCTAGAGAATACCCTCCCGCCATCAACGATACCCTCTCAACTCAGCAGCCAAGACCCTATATCTTATCTATACTTGACTCTTGATACTCCTCTACCAATAGTCCCTTCATATGATGGATCCAGTTCAACTACTATCAAAGACCTGCCACAATGCCCAGATCTACGGCCGTACGCATCGCCGTTTACCATGCCACGGGCGCGGAAGAACATCCTACTCGCACTGTCCTGTATCGCTACGATGCTAACAGCGTATACGGCTGGAACTTATTCACCCCCGTCGAGGGCAATGGCTAGGGATATCGGAGCAAGTCATACAGCGACACTTGTTGGAATCACAACCTTTTGCATGGGCTTCGCTTTGGCGCCCATGGCTCTCGCTCCCATCTCTGAGATCTGGGGTCGACGCCCTGTCTTTATGTTCGCTGGTTTTGTGTTTGTCATCTTCCAAGCCGTCTGTTCTGTTATGCCGAACTTGGCTGGCATGTTGATTGCTCGGTTCTTTGTTGGTGTCGGTGGTTCAGTCTTCAGTTCAGTTGTCGGTGGAGTCATCGCTGATCTGTGGCACAAGGAAGAGAGAAACACTCCCATGGCTCTGTTCAGTGGTTTCGTTCTTTTTGGTACCGGACTTGGACCTTTGGTGGCCGCTGCTCTTGTCAATGACCTTGATGACGATACACTGGCTTGGAAATGGTCGTTCTGGCATCAAGTCATCTTGGACGGGCTTCTGTTGGTCGCTATCATGTTTCTCTTCAAAGAAACCCGAGGATCAGTACTGCTATCGCGAAAGGCCAAGAAATTGAACGAGTGGTATGAGAAGCTCGAGGAAGCAGGTGCCTACGGAGTGTTGGTTACCAATGCTCAGAGAGATTCGGGCAACAGCTCATCGGCTTCAAGCGCCAAGACCTTACCAGGACATGATAACGAGGTCGAGAACAATCAGCAGGGCCGTCTGCGAAGAGTTCGATGGCTTGTGGAAGCTGATGAACAGCGGCCTCCTCTTCATCAAATGATGGCCACCTCCATCAAAAGACCCTTCTATCTTCTCTTCACAGAACCTGTCGTCTTTTCTTTCTCCCTTTGGGCCGCATTCTCGTGGGCCGTCCTCTACTTGTCTTTCTCCATCGTGCCGTACCTATACGCTGACAACTACAACATGTCCATGCGCGTTTACGTCGCAATGATGGCTTCAGCTATCGTTGCCACAGTTGTGGGCACACTTCAGGAGAACCTCATGAAACACCCTCTCTGGTCCGGTCCTTACCACGAGAAAGAAGTGTCAACCTTCTGGCGTTTCATAAGGAAGCACTTTCCCGCAGATTCGCCTGAGGCTCGGTTGTACTTTTCATGTCTTACATCGCTTCTTCTCCCTGCCGGATTGTTTGTTGCGTTCCTTAGTCCAACCAGCACAAGTCATTACACGCAGGCCATCGGGATTGGGTTTGCAAACTGGGGCATCTACTCTGTGTATCTTGCTACTTTTAATTATCTGGCGGACACGTATCACATTTATGCCTCATCAGCATTGGCTGCGCAGAGCTTCAGCCGCAATGTACTGGGTGGCATCTTCCCTGTGTTGACAGGCATGATGTTTGACAATTTAGGTCTGAAGACTGCAGGATGTGTGTTGGGGGGCATCGCTTCTGCCCTAACACTCATTCCATGGGTCCTGGTTATCTTCGGTGCCAAGATTCGGGCCAGAAGCAAGTTTGCAATTGTAAGTTTCCCTTCCGTCACTGTGTAACACACATGTAGAGCCCTGCTAACACTTCACAGTCACTACAAAAGCAATGAGCGTTTTTTTGCAATAGAAGAAACATTACAGACAAAGTTTAGATCAAGTTCTTGATGTATTGGATAGCACAAAATCGTCGTTGTCTGCATTATCATGACCTTATGAATATATACCCGGCCTATCACATTGAGGCCCAATGAAAACACAAATGAACCGTCCGTTATTCGTTATCCCAGCTTCTCGTGATGGTATATATCGTCTCAGTACGTAATAGCGGCGTCTCTGCTCAGATGTCTCTTCTTTTTCTTCAGTTTGTTTCTGATGAAAGGCTCTTTGATCCAAGCAAATCCCCTCTTCTCTGATATAGTACTCTTCTTTGCAAACTCCCTGCTCAACTCGTCGCATGTACGTTCCGATAAACTTGTCTCGCTCCTCAGGTACCCATCTCTCGCCTGTTGCAAGTCGGCCAAAAAGGCGGGAAGAACAAAATTTCCGTTTACGTCAATGTGAGGAGGCGGGAGCTGAACACAACCTTCCCATTTGCGCAAAGCTTCGGGAATGTGGTTTGTTGCGGGTGCTTCGTGCTCGTCCAGTGCAATCATACCCCCGCTCAAATCAACATACGACTTCTGCCCGCTGAGTTTCGGCCATATCGTTGATGGCGTAATGCGGTACCCAACGACATTCTTCTGGTCGGCAAACAAGGTTCCAATCAGGCGCGTACTATAATCTTCGCTGAACCCGCACATCCGAATAGACGCGATGCGACCTTTTAGGCGGAGGATGTTGTTGCAGAACAAAAGGTACCCGTCGGGGCAGTAGTTTTCTCGAAGAGGGAGGGGGTCCGGAAAAGTCTCGCGGGAGGAGACAGGGCTCAAGAAGAGCATCTCATCGGGTTCAGAATTGTATCGTTTGAGACTGTTGCCACTTGGGCTGTATGGCTCTGGCGTTCTGACTCCGCGCGAAGGTGGTCGACTGGTAGTGGTGCTGCTTGGCTCTGGTTCTTCTGCAAGGGGCCGCTTTCCGAAGAATCTTCGGCAAAGAAGCACGAGGCTTTCCATAGGGCATGATTCACTGCGCTGGAGTTGCGTCGCGACGAAGTACTTAAGACGTAGCGCTGTCTTTTCGGTATTGGCAAGGAGGTATGCAGCGTCCGGGGTCGGACCGCAAGCCAGATGCGACATGTCTAACTCTATCACAATGTTGCTTGCGTAGGGTCCGTAGTCATTAAGCCATGTCGTCACAAGAGGGCTGACTCTTGGACCTATGAATGGGGAGAAGACGGCGTGTAGTCTTGTCTCCAGGAGAAATGCGACCAGGACATCGGCGCGAAAGGCGAAAGAGACTTCCAAGTAGGGGGAGATCTGACCAAGAGTAGAGTAAGGCGATGCGAAATCTTGTGTACGCCAGACATCTCGGTTGAAGGGAAACTTGTTCAGGCGCAGAGGCTTGTCGTTGTCGGGAAGTAGATACCGGCAGATCTGAAGCCGCACCGCGTCCGGAAGGCGGAAGTAGCCAGAAGACGGCTTCTTTCGACCATGGTTGTCGAAGAATGACGAAAGCACTTTCTCAAAACTTGCCTTGGTAGTCGTGCTGTGACAGACAGCATCAAAAGACCGATCCCAGGCAGGAAGATTCTGACGGGGCACATTCACTGGAGGTCGCAGTCTCGGAAACTTGGGCGATACTGGTGTGTTAGGAGTGACCGGAGTTACAGGCTGCGAACGATTTTTGAACGGATTAGAAGTGCTTCTTGTGCGCTCCTTGACACTGGCTTTTAAAGGCATATCGAAGTCAGCCTCGAGAGGTTGGTGATACGTATGTAAGCAAGAGAAGAAGGTGTAAAGAAGAAGACGCACTCATCCTCAGAGATCCCAAACGCTCGGAAATATCGGTTCTGGCTTTGAAGGAGCCAACGCGACGAAGGAGGGAGGAAGTTGAGGCCGAGGGCGATACAGAGGGCGATGGTGATATTGGAGTTGCCATTGTTTTGGTGTTACTGCCACTTGCGTGGCACTGATACTGGCACTGACAATGACACCGGCACTTGCAATGGCAGACGGCCTTTCAACGGCAACCATTTCTTTGTACAAAAATATATTTGCGGGCAAGTGAATTGATTTACGATTTATTGAGGGATTATTAAAACACAGTTTATTTGAGTTGTTGTTAGATCGGGAAGTTACAACCCCAAGCGTCCTGTCCTGATTCAGAGAGAGCGACCCGTTCTTTTTTGGTCTTGGTCTTGCCCAAGTTACTAAACATTTATACTTTGGACTGTGACGTGAAAGTTTAAATGGGAATGGAAATAGTGTCACTTAACTTCAAAGTCACGGGACTTGGATTTGAACTTGGTTGATACTCACTCAAAGTCAGGTAGGTATTCAACTTACACATGTTAATAAAATGGTGGATTGGGTGGGTTCGGGGATATCTTCCTTTTGACTTCATGGTCTCACAGCAACACTTCTCACACAAGGTTGGTGATAATGTCTAAAGTATCTCAAGGCACAGAAGCTCCAATAAGCATGGGATCTGCTTATCTTGCTGGTTCAATCTCCTTCGATGTCGCTCTGAAGATGACTTGGCGGCTGAAAGGAACACTCATCCGATACGTTGGGCATGTCCGAGACCGTTTGACAACTGATCTATTCGATTGATGGCGTGCTTCCATGATTCTTGAAGTCTCAGTCCTGGCGAAGTTGACTGGTTACAAGATCCGTACATATACATGTGCGCATCTTCAGACTCTGACTTTGACTTTGAGAAGTCCCTCAGCATAAAACACAAGATGGGGGCTCGTTAAACTCTTCTCTTTCTTCTCCTCCTCTCTCAACTCCACTCCTAATCATATTTCGATGCTCAAGTTCAGCTTCCAGGCCCTCTTTACAGTCTCTTTTTGGGAATCCATCCATAGTTCTAGGTCCGCTGCGACCATACGAATAAAATGGCACCATCAACACCCCCTCTTTCCTTTGCCAATATGACGGCCTTAACAACTGTGGGCAACAAAGGGCATTTAGAGTCCACAGACCCTTGGTCTGTCAAGGAGGACCGTCAGGCTGGTATCTTCGCCTGGGTCATCATAGGCATTATAATGAACGCCTTCATTATGCTCGTCATATGCGACATGATAAAGAAGTATCAAACCGGAGAACTCCAAGACGAAATGAAGACCCTTGGCAGAATCTTCGGCCACCTCCTCACTCTTCCCTGCAGGTTGTGCACGAAGGACAATATCATGCCCCTCTGGTACTCCATCACCAACAGATTCCAGCCCCTAGAGAAACAGCGCCACTGGAAGACCAAGGAGGAGTTGGAAAAGGAGGCGAAGGAAGAGCAAGATGTGAAAGCTGGCATCAAGAAGCCGCTCAACAGCGAGGATTCTATCGCAAGACTTGGCGGTGGCTGGCCCCCAAAGAACCGCCGGGGCAGTACAAACCGCAAGGGGAGGAGCCTTGAATTACAACGTCTTCCCAGTATCGCCAAACTCTCCGAGGAAAACATGGGACTCCCTAGGATGGGAGGTCGCTCTCACAGCTTCAGGATTCCCGAGATCATGCCTTCCAGACTCTCAGGCGATGTCTTCCAGCTCACTGCTGTCCCCATTTCTGGTTCGGGTGCAGACAGCCCTTCGCAGGTGACGGTTATCTTCAAGGCTGAGTCGAGCCGGGACCAGCGCAGACAGTCGGAGTGCTCTCAGGCTGAATCGAGCATGGTTGTAGAAACGGGTGGCGAGCGGGAGACCATAGTCGAGAAGGATGCTACCGGCGGGAAGAAGTCAAGTGGAGAGGATGGCACAGGAGAGAAGAAGGAGACAAAGTCTATGAAAGATACCGATGTCGTGGACGAGGCCAGCGCCAAGGATCGCAAGAGCTCAAGTCGGCAGAAAGCTGGCGAAACCAGCGGTACTCAAAGAGACTGAGAACGCCGCTTAGCTTCTACCCCTGGCCATTCTGAGCGCAGGTATCGAGGGCCTGTATTAGTGTGATTGCATTGCGGAATATGTTGCTTGTTCATATAGATGTCATGTACATGTTGTTTGGATCCGGCCGAGGTCCCATGTTCTAGTTATTCCTGGACTACCTAGATTGAACAACACCCCGAATAGAGAACGCAATTGCTTGTTTGATTAATCTTGTGATATTGTCGATGGTGTCTCGTTATTGGCGTACGAATGTGTCGATTCACTCTATCGTTGATGGTAGCTGTTGTAACAAAGGGCAGATCTCTGTGAAGCATTACCATATATTCAGCTTTTGCTTCTCTTACAAGCACATACGACCAAAGGTA